CAGTGAAGTGAAATGCCCTCTGAATAAGACCATTTATTGGTTAAATCACATTACTAGCAGAGTTATAAATCAGAATCATCTAAATCTAATGAGATCTACAGACTTCTCTTATATCTTCTGTGTACTCAAAATCTGTCATGGTGCCTCAGCTTGACTTGAATGCATTCAAATGTGATTGTATTGTACATCTCAGTGTGTAAAGGAAATTAGGAGGATTTTAGATTATTTTGACTAACCGGAGAGGTTAACTTAGCCAATTTGTTTTTGTGTTGTATGACCAACGCCAATCAGATAACCTTATGGATTTTCAGGAAGACAGAAGCAAGAGTAGTTTGGGGTCCAGCATGCTGGAGGAGGCATGGGGAAGGCATTCCTGATCAGAAAGAGACAAAAACTGCCTCCCGCCACATTTCTGAGCCAGATGTTGCAGGTGATTTTTAGAGATAGCTTTTGTAGTTTCTGTTGGCTGAAAAATAGACCAAAGGACTTCCTACAAAGATGACTCTCGAAGATGGGGGAGTAGAAGGGAGTTCCATTTGACAATGCTGTTCTTTCCCCTACTGCAAACACCACCTCAAGCTTCCTTTCCTGGGGTGTCTTAAGCTCTAACTTGACACTCATTCAGAGACAAGACTTAGTAGCAGAGTCTGAGACCGACCTTAAATGCCTCCTTTACTGAGACTGCCCCAAATAGTACGATTCCTGCTATGAGGATTTCCTGGGTTGAGCTCCTCCAAGCAACTTTACCTCTTATTTTCCCGGGGTTTCCATGCCAGATTGGAGATGGAAATATCTTCAATTATTGTGGAAAATTGTTTTAAATGTTGTTTAAAATGCAAACTTATTCTTTCTTGTGATTGTGTTTTGAAACCATACTCAGCGAATAAATTCTTTCAGGATTTGCTTCAAGGAAGTCCAAATCTCTTTCAGGGTTAGATTTGATTTTCAGAGTTAGTTCCTTCCAACAACTGAGATCTAGATATGAGAGACTGAATTAGTTGCTCCTGGTCTACAATCATTTGTTTTATTTTTCTTATCCTTTCAGCCTTTTTTTTTCTTTTTTTTTCTTTATTGTGAAAATACCATACAGAGGGTTTACAATTACATGGGCAAGATAATGAGTACATTTCTTATCAAGCATTGTTGCCTTCTCCTTTGTTTCCCCTCCCCATCCCTTTATACTATGGAGGAGGGACATACAAAGCAACAAAGAAATCATCTTATAAATATGTTAGAAACAATTGCATGAAAGAAAAAAACATTTGAATACTTATCCTGGGGTTCATTTCACCTAACATCAACTTATCTGACCTTTTCTGCTTGTCTTAGACATATACTAGTTATTGCAAATAAGGGTAACCATGGGACCTATGTTTCTTTGGGCCTGGCTTACTTCACTTAATATAGTTTTTTCCAAGTCTTTCCTTTTCCTAACAAATGGGGTGATGTCATTCTTTCTGATGGAGGCATAGAATTCCATTGTGTATATATACCACATTTTCTTGATCCATTCTCCTACTTAGGGGCATCTGGGTTGGTTCCATATATTAGCTATGGTAAATAATGCTGCAATAAAAGTAGTGCTGGTAGCTTTAGTGTGGTCTTTTTTGTGATCATTTGGGTAAATGGCCAAAAGTGGGATTGCTGGGTCATAGGGGAGCTCTATGTGGAGTCTTTTGAGGAACCTCCATACTACTTTCCAAAGTGGTTGAAAAAGTTTACACTCCCACCAACAATGCAGTAGGGTTCCCTTCATGTCCACATCCCCTCCAACATCTGTTGTTATTAGAGTTCTTGATTATAGCCATTCTAACAATGTTGTTTTGATTTGCATTTCTTTTATGGCTAGAGAGGATGAGCATTTCTTCATGTGTCTATTGGCCATTCTTCTTTCCTCTTCAGAGAAGTTTCTCTTTAAGTCTTTAGCCCACTTATTTATTGGACAGTTGTTTCTTTGAAGATTTGTTGTTGGGGGATTTAATTTTTTGAGTTCCAGGTATATTTTAGATATGAGACCCTTGTCCGTTGTCCACAAAGGGAATGCTGTATGGAACCCTACAGAGGGAATGGGAGTCCAAGGAAAACATAACCAGTCAGCTAAGTGATTTGAGAATAAACACTGAACACCAAATTAAGGAAGCAAAGAAGTTCATACAAGATCTAAAACAAAGTTCCAACAAAGATTTCGAAGCCATCAAAGCCAACCAATTAGAAGGAAGAGAAATAAAAAACAAAGTAGAAAGTCTTGACAGTAGGTTAGACCATGCAGAAGATGGAATCTCGGGGATTGAAGACAGCCTAGATATTATAGAGAAAGAACATACAACTATCCAAGACAAATCCAAGAAATATGATAGATCTATTCAACATTTGGAAGACATCATCAGAAGGCCTAATACTTTCAGCCTTTTAACATTGGTGCGTAATGTACATGTTTATGCAACAGAGCATGAGAGTCTGATACATATATACAATATGTAATGATCAAATTCAGGTAACTGATTAGGGAAAGAGAATGATAGTTTGAGACACACATATTGTATATAATGGTGAAATCTAGGTACTTACTGCCTCTTTAGGCATTTATTATTTCTATGTGTTGGAAGCCCTTAGACTCTTCTAGTTATTTAAACATAAAATACCTTCTATCAACACCTTACTGTGCTAAAGAATAGGAGGACTAATTGCTTCTCTCTGGGGTCTACTAGCTACAATTTCTTTTTTCTTTTTATTTCTTTTTATTTTTTTTTATTGTGAAAACACCGTACAGAGGGGTTACAATTACATGGGCAAGGTAATGAGCACATTTTTTTATCAGGCATTGTTGCCTCCTCCTTTGTTTCCCCTTCCCATCCCTTCCCATCTCCCACCCCACCCCCCTTCAATTTCTTTTCTTATCTTTCCCTTTTCCCCTTGTTAATCTTTAGTGACCACACTTCCACTCTCTTCTATGAGATTTATTTTAAACTTCCACCAATGATTGAGAACTCATGTTATTTGCCATTCTATGCCTGACAAATTTCACTTAATATAATGTCTTCCTGTTGGATTGATGTTCTCACAAGTGACAAAATGTATTCTTTGTTTCCTGGCTGAAATATTGCTGTATGTACATACATTATCTTTTATGTGTCATTTACTATTACATATATTATAACATTATATATTATATATTCTTGTATTGTCTACATTATTATTAAATTCATGAGATAGCATCCCAAGAGAGAAATGTGGGAGAACTCATTTGGTTGTGTGAACTTTCCATATGGTTACTCCAATCCTTGAGTTGTCTTCAAGTCTTTCAGCAAATTCTCCAGACATATCTTGTTTTGTTTTGCTTAAAACCTTCCATTGATTCTTGTTAGGTACAGAATAAATTTAACATGACTGAACTTGGCATGTGAACTATACTTCCACACTTGGGGCTGGCATGTAGATCAGTGATAGAGCTCTCAGCTGGCATGCACAGAAACTGTGAGTTGAATTCACAGCACCAAAGAAAGTAGCTACCATTCTTGAGCCTCATCCTCTGTCTGTACCCATGGTCACTTTTCCCCTGCATACCTTGTGCATCAACTAAGTTAAATTAATCAATAGTATCGATGTAACAGCTGCCTTTACTTTTTTCCCCTCACAGATTTAAATATTTATCCAACCTTTATCTTCAGCCACAAGCTCTCTTTCTCCTTCAAAGTTTCACATAAATGCTGGCCAGCTTGAATTTCATCCATTCTCCTGCTTCCTATATTATTACATCTATAAATTTTATGGCCCTTATAATTCTACCTTGTTTTATGGCTTTTATATGCAGGTCTTCTGTGCCCTGTTTTACTCAAATTCATTTGAACTCAGAAAGCAAATCTCCTTGGACCTTGTCTCTACTATGACTTTAGCCGAATGCCTCGCTTATATCAGAGATTAGTAAATATTTATTGGGGTTATAGGCAAATAGGAAACAACCTATAAATTGACAGCATTATGGTTTGGACATTTAAAACTATAGCTACTGTTATATTTCTGTAGGAGCTTTTGGAATGTAGATTTTTTTTTCATATGAAAATTTAGTAATGCTTATGATTTAGTAATTCAGTATTACAGGGTAAATTGTTATAGAACCGTGAATAATTGGGATACTCAGGATCCTGGCTATACTGAATAATTTAATTTTCTGGTTAACTCAGAATTAAAGACAAGATCCTTTTGACTTCATTTCTTGTTGGAAATTTCTTTCTCAAGTATGTTAATTTCTGATCTGAGCCAAAAAGTATCATTAAAATTTTCTTTGATAAGTGAGGATATAAAAATGCCTTTGGGTAATTATTACATACTTTTAATTTTCATTTTACATTGCCATATGTGTAAAGAAAGGTGTTTGGGTTTGGATTGTGTCCCGAAAGTTATTTTCATTTTGCAATGTATGGAATCTTTTAAATTAAGTTTGGGTGGGAATGAATAGCTGATATACCTAAATGCATGGTGCAGTAATGGGAATACATTTTGAGAATCACACTAACAGGCAATTTTATATTGCGGAAACATCAAAGAATGTATGACTATGACCCGATATGGCTATGCAATCAATAAATGATGTAATTTTAAGGGAATATGGTTAAGTAAGTAATCTGTTTTTTATCAAAATGCTACCAGGCAATAATATATTTTTATATCTATGACCATAGAAAAAAACTGTAATCAATGCTTTAGATAGTCATACTCAATGTATTCTTTACTTTACTTCTCTAGTAATTTGTTATAAAACATTTTAGTGAAATTTCAATTCCATCTGATATTGTATTTATTTAACTTATAATATGACTTATATGGTGTTTTTTTGCTATTTAACTTTTTAGCTTTTTCTTAGAGATATTTATTTTAAATATGTGGGGTTTTGGACTTGTAACTTACATTGCTTTACTCCCAAAGTAATTCTTTTGTCTTTGTCATTTTTCAGAAGTTTTCACAAACTAGAATAATCATAAGTCAATATTAAGACGAGAATCATGAACACCAAAGATTTTGTAGTTATCCCATGGGGCAAACCTGGAAATTCTGTAAAGCTAAAATATAAGTAAGTACACACACATACAGAAAATGTGTGCATGAATATTTTCTTATTTCCTAGGTAGAAATAATTGATGAACCTTCCACATATTGTAAACTATTCTTTTTGCACAGGTCTGTTTAGCATAAAAATCAAATTTGGTAAATTTGTGCCTTTATTTTCTCCATAATGTTATGTTTTTAGCTGCAAGGGTATTTATTCACTTACTTATTTTGGTGCTAGTGAGATTTAAACTAGCAGTGTCATACCTGATAGGAAGGATCATTACTATCTGATCCATGCCTCCTTTTTGTTGTTAATTATTTTCCAGGTAGGCTCTAGCATTTGTTTTTGCCAGTGCTGAGACAGTGATTGTCTTAAATAGGCCTTCCGTGTAGCTGAGATTAAGGATTGAACCCTCAACCTAGCTTGTTTGTTAGATTAAGGTCTCATGAATTCTCTCTTTTTTTTCAACCATAATCCTAGCTCTTCAGAAGGATTAGATCTGAGGACCAAGGTTCTGAGCCCTTCTAGACAGGGAACTTCATCATACTCTTCTCTCACATCCCTCACCTCCGATCTCTCCTAACCCCAGCCATCTCCTCAATTTACCTGGTTCCATTTTCACATACATACCTAGAACATTGTGACTTTATTCACCCATCCTTTATCTGAATGGAGAAATAGGCTATTTTCGATGTGGAAGCTATGTATGTATATATATGAAAAAGAAGACGTGATATGCATTATTTGATTCCAGGTGTAGATTTTAGCTCTTTGTGTCTGTATTCACATTCGGGTACTGATTATTAATCGATGCCCACATTATGGACCCTGCCCTGGGACCTTAGGTAGGAGTAGCCCCAGGCTTTGCCGCTGAATGGCTGGCAAAGGACTTGAAGTCCCATTCCAGCGACAACGGAGCTCGGAGTGCGGGCAGTAATGCGGAGCCTGGGAGGGCAGGGAGCAGGCTGGAGGGAATCCGGAATGCTCCAAGTTTTACACAGAGTTGTTGAAAATTTGGGTGGCTATTGAATAAATTATTTGCTTTAAATACCCTGCTTCTGGCTTACTTGGATATATGAAAATCAAGTGTATGCAAATCAGAAAAGAAAATGTTATATTTGCTTGTCATAGATACATATAAAAAGCCCTGGCCACCTATCTAAAGTGAATTTTGGTTGTCAGCCATCAGCAATTGAACATATAAAAGTACTTTATGAGGTATGAAGGCATACAATGCTTAAAGAGAATACTTAATGAAAGCACCTGCTAACTTTCTAAACCAAATTTGTAGAAACACATAGAAATGGCTATTACTTAATTATTAGTAATAACTTTTAATTAACTGGAATGGCAAAAGATAATATAAAATTAGTTTTCCCTTGGGTTTTGTCTGCTTACTTTAAACAAACATCCTATATTTAAACCTCCTGTCCTCAGAAATGCTCAAGAACTACGAATGGAGAAAATACAGTTAGAATTGGAGAACGAAGAGATGAAAAAGAAATTCAAAGAATTTCAATCCACAAGGAGCAAAGAAAGGGAAGAAACACAGTGAGTGACCTTTTAAGAGCCATTTCTCAAGAGAAGCAAATTAAAATGAGAGGAACAAACCGAATCCTTCTTGAGATGCTAATTTAACTGTGCTAGTAGTGACTGTGCTAATTAACAGCGCTAACTCAGCTGACTTATGTACAGAACTGATTTAAGTGCTATGATTACTGTAACAAAATATTTAGTGCAGGGATAGCATAATTTCTCCCAATAAATGGGAATATTGGATTTCCCTTCTCCCCTTGCTCCCCATTTTTTTCTGTACCTTTTACTTATGAACCACTGTTTCGTAAAACTTCCATGGCTTTCATTTCTTCTGAACTTCACTGGGCCTTGTTCTTTCATGTCTCTTCTTACATCAAATTTGATGGTTTGTGGTTCAGAATATTTCAGACAACAATGCAAATTTCCCTAACTCTCAGACTATTGCTATCGACAGCACTTTATGTAAAAGCAGCTTTATTTATTGCAAAGAGTAGAAGCAGTAGAATCTATGAGTAGATTTGAAATATGTTTAGCAAATAATAGTGAGTTGATATTTTGTTACTGAGAACCCCAAAATACCACACATATATATAGCTTCCAATTTAACTGAGTGCTAAATGAGTTAACTGAGAGTTTTTCCTACAAAAATGGTTTACAAAGTGGTTTAAGATCCACCAGAACTGCTGGTGGTGGAGTGATGGAAACCACCCCCTTTCTTCTCACCCTATTTTTTTCTGACATGAACTATAGTAGTTAAAATTCTTTGCCCCTCAGATGGCTCATATTTGCACAAGTCTCCTATGTGATCCTGTGCCAGTGTGTTGTTAAGTGTTTGAAACTGATTTCTTTTGTGTTCAACACATGAGATAGTCTCTAAGTTTTGAGAAATATAATTTATATCTTGCTATAGTGCTTAATACACTCATCTTACTTTATATGTTCATATCTTGCTGTATTGTGTAATTGATATTGGCACATGGTAACATATCTCATTTTCTTGCGTCTCACTTCCATAGTTTGTGATTACTTCAACATGTGTGTGTGTGTGTGTGTGTGTGTGTGTGTGTGTGTGTGCATGTGCACATGTGCGCATTTGTGTGTTCCAGTTCCAGGGCTTGAACTCAGTCTTTTGTTGTCCCTAAGCTTTTGTGTTCAAGTTTAATGCTCTACTACTTGAGCCACACCTTCACTTCTGCATTTTTGGTGGTTAATTGGAAATGAGTCTCATGGATTTTCTTGCCTAGGCTAGCTTTGAACCAAAATTCCACCATCTCAACCTCTCGAACAACTAGGATTACAGGTGTGAGCCACCAGCACCCAGCTGAACATGAATTTTTGCTTACATGCAAGGACATCTATGGGATAAATGCCTTCCTCAGTTAAGCTGTGTGTACACCTTATATTGTGATAGACTTCCAAAAGTTGTCTTCTAAATAGGCTTTAAAGAGACCATGCTTCAAGTGAATTTACTGATGGTGAATATCACTAAACCCTTTGCATGTTAAATGTAATTTTGTTTTGTTTTCAAAATGAGGATCACCAATTGTAATCCATTTTGACCTGAAACGTACCTTCTGGACAATTAATGGCAATCTTAATATGTTTATTGTACTTTTGGAGTCCAATTCTTTCAAAAGATTGCATGACACACATAGTCTCTCTTTATCAATAGGACATGGTTTGCTTCAAGGGGTCTCGTGTTATCTGTCATCCAGAAAGATAAAATTTGTTGTTGGACTTTACAATAAATCACAACGTTCCTCTGTGATTCAGAATCACCTCTCCAGATGAATTTTCCTTAATGGCTCACACTTCTTCTGTCCCCCCCAAAACACTTTCTAAAGCTTGGCTGAGTTTTTAGAATAGTTGCTTTCTTTACTAAGGTCACACAGATGGCCAATGTCATAGTCAAAATGAGAACCTGTCACTCAGTGGGCAGGAAGCTAGAAGCCCAGTGTTCTGGTTTAAGATTTATTATTTATTAACTATGTGACACTGGCCAAGTTGTCTCATTACTTTTTAAATGAAAATTGGTCTCTTTCTGCTGCTCCTTTCAGAAGGATTCCGTGAAGCTCAGCTAAAAGTACTTTGCAAACAGTGAAAATAAACATTGGCTCCTTTGGCCCACTGTTGCTTTTTAATGTAGGAACAGCTTTTAACTCTTACAAGAAGTTTGTCACTGAATAGATCTGCTGAATATTTCAGGAGCAGTAGGGGAGTTGTATTGCTGTCTTCTCTTTGTATTGTGGATACTTAGTTTGCTGTTTTTGTTTCTTTAATTATGTCATGGGTCTTGAACTCTAGGCCTGGTAGCTGTCCCTGAGCTCTTCAGCTCAAGGCAAGCACTGTACCACTTGAGCCACAGCATCACTTCCAGTTTTTCTGGTGGTTTATTGGAGATAAGAGTTTCATGGAGGGCTGGGAAGATGGCCCAGTGGTAGAGCACTTGCCTTGCATGCATGAGGCCCTGGGTTCGATTCCTCAGCACCACATAAGCAAAAAGAAAAAAAGCCAGAAGTGGCACTATGGCTCCAGTGGTAGAGTGCTAGCCTTGACCTGGAGAGCTGAGGGATAGCGCCAGGCCCAGAGTTCAGGCCCCACGACTGGACCGCCCCCTCCTCCCAAAAAAAAGTTTCATAGATGTTCCTGCTAGCTGGCTGGTGTTGAACCACGATCCTCAGATCTCAGCCTCCTCAGTAGTTAGGATTACAGGCATGAGCCACAGATACCCAGCTGGATACTTAGTTTTTAAAACTGTAAAGTTTCCTATTAACTTCTAAAACTATCCCCAGCCCTTCTAAATGTCAAAACCAGGAATTCCTCATCCGTGTTTGGAGATATGCCTTTTATTCAGTTCTCTGCAGCCATCGCTCGCATATATGATAGTCATATTTCAAAATTACGATATTAGGGCACTACTGGTATTTGTTTTCCTTTTGTGGTGGTTTCTTACACTGTACCATCGAATTACTATTCCCTGAAGCAGAGAAAACGTATTTGTTTTCATTAAAAGGAGAAATGTTTTAGTAATCACATCTTCTTTTGTCTGTATCTGTTGAAGGTCAAGTGGATATCATTGGAAATCTGGAAAAGTGGGTAGATTGGGCAATCAGTCACGCACAATGTCACAAAATAAAGGAAATGCAATTAAGGTAAGGAGATACTATTTGATTATCAGGCAGTTTGCAAACCAAAGAGATATAAATTATTTTTTATGGTTTGCATTTTCTTCCATACTCAAGAATCTATTATTCTTGTTTTAACAACTTCATGGAGTATTAGATGTTTACATTTATTTTTGTCAATTAATATGCAGCTTTCATTATCCCAACATATTTTTGATTTTCATCCATAAGGTTGATTTGGACTTTCTCCCCAATTCCAAACAGAAAACAATTTCCATTAAATTCAATTCTCATTTAAAATATGTAAAAGGGAACTACGTAATGAAAGCAAATGTGAATTAGCCTAACAAATTATAGGCTTTATTCTTAACATTGTATCATTTCACATATGTTTAGTTCTTTCATATCCTGCGTGATATATAATTATGTATATAGTGTTGCTTCCATGTGTGATGTGAAAGAGAAAATTGCATCTCAGTTTTGAACTATATGTTTGCTTTATCATTATTGTGTATTCTAAAACTATAACATTGCATTCTATTCAAGATTAACACCACCTAAAGGGTATTTAAATAATGTAAATCATTTCTGACTTCTTTAGTGCAAAGCTTCTGTTTAAAATTTTAACTTATACACACATACTCATATATATAATTAAAATTAGTTGGGTCAACTGACATCTAGAAACTTATTTGGCACTTCTAAATATTTTAGCTTCAAAAAATAAGCAGTTTATTTTATAGTGTCATTCTCATTATGAGGTGTGTTTATTTAATTGAGTTAAAGCTTTATTGACCACTTTAAGTTTTCATGACTTTTTGGAGGAGTGGACCATGTTTCAGATGTTATTATAAATGTATTAAAATGCTGGTTGTGTTTGTAGACTTGGTGATTTTGATCTACACATAATAATGTTTATGAAATGGTGTTTTAGACTTGCAGTGAGCTATCTTTGTTCTCAAGGAGGTTCCCCTCTAATGTGAAAAATGGGTGCCTCAGAATACTTTTTTATTCAACTCAATGGAAAGCTTTTCATTGTAACCAACTCAGCTTATGAGGAATATAGTCTTTGAGAAACAATAGTTTAGTTCTACACAGAGTTTAGGGTTTGCTGGATATATTTTTAAGTGGGGGGAAAGAAGAGGGAATCAAAATCGCTTTTGCCATCACCAGAATTAAGAAGGAGACTGGAGTTGATTTGGCTTTTTCTTTTCACCTCCCTCAGTACTTGTTTTATTCCTAAGTGGCAATGTGTTGGTCTATGAATTATTATCCTATATATCATTCAGATAAAATAACAACATCAAAGAAGTAAAATACCCTGCTCCTGGCCAGGGTATTAAAAGAAATAAAATACCTTGCTCCTGGTCAGGTATGAGAGCCCAGGTCTGGTTTGGATTTATTCAAAGCTAATGATTAAGGGTAGCTGGAGAAGAGGAAGAATCAAATCGTTGCAAGTATGTGGAAAAAGAAAATACATAGGGAGGGTAGTTTGGAAAACAGGGACCAGTAAGTGTTGTCCAATACTTTGTACAGTGAGGTATGTGTGTGTGTGTGTGTGTGTGTGTGTGTGTGTGTGTGTGTGGTATGGTGTGTATCAGTGTAGACCAGTGTTTCTCATGGAGACATGAGACATGTTATTCTCCAGGAGACATTTGCCCAGGCATTGAAGACACATTCAGTTCTTATCAGTGAGCCCAGCCTTTAGCTTGTTTTTTTTTTTTTTTTTTTTAAATAGTATTTGGCAGAAATGCCATTAACTTCTTTCTTTTTTTTTCCTTTTTTTTTGGTCAGTCGTGGGTCCTGAACTCTGGGCCTGGGCGCTGTCCCTCAGCTCTTCAGCTCAAGGCTAGCGCTCTACCACTTGAGCCACAGTACCACTTTAGGCTTTTCCTGCTTATTTGTGGTGCTGAGGAATTGAACCCAGGGCCTCATGCATGCAAGGCAAGCACTCTACCACTGAGCCACCTTCCCAGCCTGCCATTACATTCTTACAACCTATTTGACATCTCCCATGACAAAGAATCATTTAGCACAGAATGTCAGTGGTGCTGAGGTCCCGAGACCCTGGATTACAACCTGTCCATTAAAATGATTACCTGTGTAATTCAATTTGTAATCTTAAAGAGTCTTTTAATCTCTGATTCTCTTTTACCATTGCTAGTAAACATGTGGTACTATTGCTTGGGAATCATAATAAAGTCTCTGAAAAAATGAGAATACAGAAGGAACGGATTGGATCTAACAATCCATCTGAATTAATCCATTGGATCTAATATTGATTGGTTCATACTTATGAGTTGTGGATATAGATTTCAAACAGTTGGAAAGAGTGGGTGATTAGTGACATTTTAAGGGTTTAAGAGATTCAATGTTCAACTTCACTGTGTGATTATTTTAGGAGTGGGGAAATGGACTACTTGAAAGGAAACGGAGGAAGGCTTGAAGTTGCAGAGGTTGTCAGATGCTGGTGTGGTCTTTGAGGAGTTGACTTATTAAAAGAAGCCTTATTTAAAGAAAAGACTTATCGAAAGAAGCAAAGAACTGACACTGTCTTTTCTCTGAGTTGAGAATGATGGATGGAAAAAAGAGCATGAAGAAATTTAAATATATAATATACATATATATATATATATAGAGAGAGAGAGAGAGAGAGAGGGAGGAGAGGGAGGTTGGTGATAACAGGGGGTCCAATTAGATGCCATGGAAAGGGTCAACAGGAAGATGCCAGGGTTCTTAATAAAGTTAAAGGCAGTAACATTGGCTCAGAGCAAGGAAAGGCCCTGAGATGGGAACGGGAGTTCTTAAGAAGAGAGGCCTGGAGAAGTCTGGTGGGCGTCGGGGTCGGGGGTGTGCTAACGCCCAAGGAGCCAATATGGAAGACCCCTGGGCTTATTTCATCACAATAGTGGTAGACAGGGGAGGCGCAGGAGGGAGAGGAGGGAAGGGGATGAAGGTCAGCCCCAGGAGCTGGGGAGTGGGAAGGTGTGGCTGCTTAGGTGCCCAGTTTGGTCATAATGGTGCCTCCCGGCGGGGGTGGTGCTGAAGAGGCAATCAGAGGCCCCCAGTGGCCGCATGGCGATGGCCTGCGAGGCCAGAATACCAGGACAGCAGGGGCAGTGAGGCGTCCGGGTTCGCAGCCAGGCTGTTATGGGAGCGGATCTGGCATGCGCCGCGTCCTTGGTGCGCCCCGTGGCCGGTGGCTCTCAGGCTCGGACGTCCCGTCCTGGTGAGCGCCGGGGCAGGGAGCGGGCCTGTGCATCCTGGCCTCGCCTTGGGGACGGTGGAGCGCAGGGTTCAGCCAAGGCGAATGTGCGGGCGAGGTGTTGGCAAGGGAAGACTGAGAATTGGGGGATATGGCTCCTTGGATTGGTGGGAGGCCTGGGTGGAAAGATCATCTCGAGGATGTGTGGGAGGTCGGCTGGGGGGGGGTGGTGAGGGAGGCTTCCGCCTAGGTCGCCTTGGCAGTCGATGGGCGCTGGGGAGTGCCGGGGACCGAACACCGCAGGCGTGTCCAGTTTACGCGCGCACGTGCGCGCGTGTGCGCACGTGCGCGCGTGGGTAAAGTTGGTCTAACCCTATTCCAACACTCAAACTTTTCTGAACTAGACCGATTTTCAATTTGACAAGGGAATTCTCTCCTTCCCCTCCCTCAAAATAGCCCCTAGCTGCTGGCTCATTAAGGTATTTGCGGGCAATTGGAATAAAGTGACACAAATATAACTCCATTCAAAGAGCAGCAAAAGAATCCTGGTAAAGGGGGAAAAAAATCCTAACGTGTCTGTGATCATCGTTCTGTGTGACTTTCATGCACCTGTCCGTTCTGTTCAAGTAGCTTTAGAACCCTGGCTGGCCCGCAATCCAGACGTGCCATGAAGGTAATCAGACCGGACACTTTGGATATGGAAAAAGTGAGATTAAATTATCTGTCACTGGGATAATATTCACAATTTAAAAAAGCCAAACAAGATGTGTGAGTCCTATGAAACGTGATTACTTCCATCCCAAATTCTTTTCTGCTGTGTTCGGTGCAGAAAACATCTGAGCAGCTAGTTCACAGCATATGGACACTGAAGCAAAACCACAGAGAATAATTAGGCTTAAATGTTCAAAGATGCCTACAGACAGTGCAGTCAGAGATAGAGAGGCTGCCATTGTTCCAGAACCTCATCGACAAATTGGGCAATTGAGCAGACACATTGCACATTGAAATCGGTGTGTGAATTGACGGTGCCTGTATAAATGCACACCACATCCTTGCTTGTTTGTGGATTTTGAATGTTGGTTTTAATAAGGCCAAGGAGAATACATTCAGCTGGCAGGTCTGTTTGGTTTTCTAAAATGTTAATACCAGAGTATTTTATATGATTAGTTGAAATACCTAGATGTGAACCTTACTTACTTCCATATATATATATATATACACATATAATACATATATGTATATAGGTGTATATATTTGAAGGCCATGCTGTTTAACGCAAATGATTCTCCAAATTTGGCAAATAAGAGAATAATACTGGTTCCTACAGTTGTGTAGCAGAATGGCTCAGTTGGATTTCAGCTTATACTCAGTCTGTACAAATATTGGGCTTTGTGGGCTTTCCAAAGAACAGAAATGGAAAGAGTTCACTCAGCCTTACAGCACACTGAATGCGGGCACTCTTTTGACGATTTTCTGATCATGTATAACGATTCTTGTTTCTAGTATGTGTTTTTAAAACTGGTTTGTATATATTGTGTTTACATTTCCTTTCTTTTCAATCAAATTTTAATTAAGTCTGGGTGTACTTAAGCAGTGATCTCTGACTAGTTTTATATTATTCTTCCACGAATTTTCATACAAGCTGTACCTCAGTGCTACGATATCTTATGTTTTTTGTTAGAGATTTAATTAAAATTTCTTTAAACAAGAATCTATACCTGACAAATAATATCTATTTCATTCATAGTTTCCTGGTGGAAAACTGAAATTAAAATTACTGAAGCACGAGAGTCAAGGTAAACAGTTTATGGCTATCTTGCTAGATGAGATGAATGTAGTCCTTGGATTTTCCCTGAATTACAAGCAGAAATAAAGTACTAGACTTCTTTATATAGCATAAGGACCCTTAACCAACACATTCCCTCCCTCCCTTTCCTCCCTTCCTGTCAGAAGCAGGCATGAACTCAAGATCTTTTGCTCTCACTCAGCTTTATCACACACAGCTGGAGTTCTACCAGTTGAGCCACACCTCCAGTGCAGCTTTTTGGGGGTTAATTGGAGATAGAATCTCTGGCTTCTAATGGAGCTCATCAGTTCTCAACCGCCTAAATAGCTAGGATTACAGGTCACCCACCCTGTGACATTTTGATTTATTTTTTGCAATGACATGATTTTGTAATTTTTGTTTTTATGGTTTTTTTTTGAAAATTTTTATTTGTTTTTTATTGTGGCGAAAATACCATACAGAGGGGTTACAATTACATGAGCAAGGAAATGAGTACATTTTTTATCAAGCATTGTTACCTCCTCCTTTGTTTCCCCTTCCCATCCCTTCCCATCTTCCCCCCCACCCCTGGCAAAGTTGTAAAGTACGTTTTTCAACATAACGTCTTGTACAACTCATTATTGCAATGAGTCCACCTGTATCCCTATTTACACAATTTGTTTTTTCCCTTCCCCTCCACAAATTATAGCAGCATCAAATACAGTGAAAACAGGGGCTATATATACGAAGAAACAAAGAAGTCATCTTATAAATGTTAGAATTTTCAAAATTAGTTTTATTCTGCTTTCTTGGAGGTCTTGTTATATGGCAAAAATGCCACCTCACAATGTAATTGCAATGATAACATGTTTTACAGGTGAAGGATTTCAATGTATTGTTTCTTGAACTTTATTGATATGTTCTTCAAACTAGTAAGAATATTTCGCAATACAAAATTATAAATTGTACTATTCCAGGATATTAAAAGAATATTGAGGGCTGGGAAGGTGGCTCAGTGGTAGAGCGTTTGCCTTGGTATGCATGAGGCCCTGGGTTTGATTCCTCAGCACCATATAAGCAAAAAAGCTGGAAGTGGCACTGTAGCTCAAGTGGTAGAGTGTTAACCTTGAGCTAAAGAGCTGAGGGACAGTTCCCAAGCCCAGACTGACCAAAAAAAACCCCCAAAACCAAAAAATAAAAAAAGAATATTGAAAATTTGCTTTATATTTAATACCTTAATTTGAAATTGTTAAGAAACATAAATCATAGTTTTGGACTTGTAATAATTCCAAAGGAAATAACTATCTTCCTGGAGGATAAACAGGTTTAATTTTGAGTGATTCACATAGTGTGAGTTAATGAGTTATAGAAAAATAAATACAATATTTATATAAACGTATGTTGTAAACATACAAAATTTCATGTATTTTTGTATGAGTGTATATGCACATATGTATGTCTATATGCACATGATATGTAATATTTTTATGTATATATAAACTTTTCTCTACTTCAGTTTGATCCAGATATGGGAAAGCATCACAGGGACTGTGTCAAGTGTAAGATTTTTAGAGTTCTGTAATTGTAAATGTTTTGAGCAGTGGGTGTGTTGGCTGTTTTAAGGTCTTGGGCCTGTGAGTGCTCCAAGAAGCTGGTATGGTAATTGCAGTCAAATGACAATTAGCTTGGACTACCTATCCTTCTCATTGAGTCACAAATATTGGTCATTTTGAAATGTTTACACTTTCCTGACTTAATCAGAAAGCTAAACATCATATTTAAAAGTGATTTGTCTGACATGATTTTCCTTCCAGAGACAGTAAGACAGCCAGTTAAGCACAAGATGGCAAATTCTCCTGGAAGTGAAAAACTCAAGACAAAAGGGAAGACTTGTGGACAGTGTGAGATAAAATCTGCTCTCCTAGTATGTACATTATGGTAAACAATATGCATGGAACTCCCTTGGCCTTACACATCAGTCCCACCTTTATCTCCATTTACAGCCATCTACTTATTCTTACTGGGGTGATGTGCTTTCTGATGTCTGCCCTTACTTGCAAATTGTATTTTCTTTTCTTCCCCTCCCTCCCTCCCTCCCTCCCTCCCTCCCTCATTCCCTTCCGTTCCTTCCTTCCTTCCTTCCTTCCTTCCTTCCTTCCTTCCTTCCTTCCTTCCTTCCTTCCTTCCTTCCTTCCCTTTTTGGTATGAACACTGGGGTTTGAACTGGATTATTTGCTCAGCTGGTACTCTAGACTTCTAGACCAGCTGTTGGTGGTTTTGTGGAAATGAAATCTAGTGGAATTTTCTGCCATACTTGACTTTGTAATGTAATCCTCTGAATCTTAGCCTCTAGCATATTCAGGATTACAGGTGTGACCACCGGCTCCTTGCTTGCATCTTTCTATTCTTGTCTAAGGATCCCACTTTTCCACAGTGATTTCCCTTCTTCCAGCCATACCTGTCCACCCGAGCATGCAGCAATATCTACCATCTAAAGTCAAAACTCAAAGTAAACCCAGAAAGTCCTTTAGATTTCCAAGTCTCACTTCTCACTCTATTTTAACAAATTCCTGTGGGATTTTGTCTTTTCTTTTCTCCCTTTTTTTTTTATAATTGTGAAAATACCTTACAGAGGGGTTACAATTACATGGGCAAGGTAATGAGTACATTTCTTATCAAGCATTGTTTCCTTCTCTTTTGTTGATTCCTCTTCCCACCCCTTCCCATCTCCCTCCACCCCCCCCCCCCCCGCCTCTGCCAAAGTTAACAATGAGATGTACAAGACATTATGTTGAAAAACAAACTTTACAACATTGTCTTTTCTTGCCAGCTATCATATTTTCTTCCTCTCATTCACCACTCTTGTTAAGATGTGGTCTATGAAAGGTAAACAAATGCTTTTTGGAAGGTTATGTCAAGAATCAGAATGGTATTTTTTTTGGGGGGGGTCCGGTCATGGAGCCTGAACTCTGGGCCTGGGCACTGTCCCTCAGCTCTTCAGCTCAAGGCTAGCATTCTACCACATGAGCCACAGCGCCACTTCCGGCTTTTTTCTTTTTGCTTATGTGGTACTGAGGAATCGAACCCAGGGCCTCATGCATGCAAGGCAAGTGCTCTACCACTGAGCCACCTTCCCAGCCCCTCAGAATGGTATTTAACCACAGAAAAAGCCTCTTCAGATCTACCACACAGGACCTGCTAGGCTAGTGTCTAAACTGCAGATTCAGTACTGTCTGTTCTTTAACTTTATATAAATGGGTTGGTAGAGTACACACACACACACACACACACACACACACACACACACACACACACACACACATCACCCCTTGGCCTTATTTCTTCCATATGGTGATTAATCTATGCTGTTAAATTTATTTATAGTATGTTCATTTGTATTACTAAGCATACTTCCTTAATGGTATAGGATAGCTATACCACTTTTGTTTATCCATTCATGTGCTGAATGACATTTGAGTTATATAGATCTTGTTGCTTATATTCTCTTAAAAATCATTAAGTGAAACTGAAATAAGACAGGTAAAAACATTTTTGATGATTCTCTAAGTTTTCATTGGTGCAAATATTGAACATTCAAAGAATTGTAATGAGAACTGGGTACTATCCGGGCTCTGTGGCTCACGCCTGTAATTCTAGCTACGCAGGAAGCTGAGATCTGAGGATTGTAGTTCAAAGCCAGCCTGGGCAGGAAAGCACATGAGATTCTTATGTTCAATTAACGACCATAAAACTGAAAGTGGCACTGTAGCTCAAAGGGTAGAGGGCTAGCCTTGAGCTGAAGAGCTGAGGGACAGCGCCCAGGCCCAGAATTAAAGTCCCGTGACCGACCACATATAAAAGAAAGAAAAGAAAAACCAAACTGGGTACTGGTAGCTCATGCCTAAAATCATAGCTATTCAAAAGGCTGAGATCTGAGGATTATAGTCTGCAACCAGCCTAAGCAGACAAACCCAAGAGAGTCTTATGTTCAATTACTGTAAAAAAAAAGATACTGGAGGGGTGGCTCAAGTAGTAGAGCTCCAGTCTTGATTGAAAATGTAAAGCAAGAGCTTGAGGCTCTGAGTTTGAGCCTCAGTACTAGCACAATTCCATTTCTGGCTTTTGGCTGGTTAATTCAAGGTAAGAATCTTGCAGATTTGTCTGCTTCAAAGTGGGCTGCTCAGCCTCTTAAGTAGCTAGGATCTTAGGTACTCAGCCAGTTAATCCATTTTTGTTCAGGATTTTTGCATCTATATTTATCAAAGATAAATCATTTGTTCGTTGTGACTATGTCTAGTTTTGGTATTAGGCTACTGCTGGCCTCATAGAATGAACTTATTTACTTGAGTCTTTTTTGTTATTTGTTTAAATAAGTTTTTTTATTGTAAAAATAGTGTACAGAGGGGTTACAATCACATGAGCAAGGTAATGAATGCATTTCTTATCAAGCATTGTTGCCTCCTCCTTTGTTTTTTCCCTACCATTCCTTCCCTCCCATCTCCACAACTACATCTCCTCCCCCTCACCCCCCACTCCCCCTCCTAAATTGTAAACTTCTTTTTAAATTTTTTTAAAATAAGTTTTTTATTGTGAAAATACTGTAGAGGGGTTACAATTACATGGGCAAGGTAATGAGTACATTTCTTATCAAGCATTGTTGCCTCTTCCTTTGTTTTCCCCCTACCATCCCTTCCCTCCCATCTCCATAACTACACTCCCCCCTCCCCTCCCTGACTCTCCCCTACCCCCCCCCCACCTAAATTGTAAAGTCCCTTTTTCAACATAGTATCTTGTACATCTGTACATCTCATTGTTGCAATGAGTCAACTTGTATCTCTAATTAGCTTTTTTTTTTTTTTTTTTAGTCCATCATGGGGCTTGAACTCTGGGCCTGGGTGCTGTCCCTGAGCTCTTCAGCTCAAGGCTAGCACTCTGCCACTTGAGCCATGGTACCACTTCTAACCTGTATTCCTATTTAAACAAATTGTTTAAATAGAGATACAGGTTGACCCATTGCAACAATCCTTTTTTTTGTATTTAGTTGAGCTAGACACTTCTTGAAGGCTATGGTACATCCAGTGTGGTGTAATAGGGCTGGAGCTGGAAATAAAGAATCCCATCCCTCTTTTTTTTGTTGGCTGTGGGGCTTGAACTCTGGGCCTGGGAGCTGTCGCTCAGCTCTTCAGCTCAAGGTGAGCCCTCTACCACTTGACCCACAGCACCACTTCCTTTTTTTCTGGTGGTTTATTGGAGATAAGAGTCTCACAGCCTTTTCTGCCTGGGCTGGCTTTGAAAGGTGATCTTCAGATCTCAGCCTCCTGAATAGCTATGATTACAGGCATGAGCCACTGGTACCTGGTCTTCCATTTGCTTTTGTTCTGTACTTTTTGTGCTGGAATTAAGGCTTGAACTCGGGGCCTCATGCCTTGCTTGATTTTTTTTTTTAAACCATAACTGACATGCTACTTTTTTTTTTTTTTTTTAACCAGTCTAGCTTTTTACTGGTTAATCACAGATGAAATCTTTCAGACTTTTCTGCTTTAGTGGACTTGAATCTGAAATCCTTTGGCTCTCAGCTTCCAGAAAAGCTAGGATTAAAGACAAGAGAGGCTCTGGTGCCCAGATCTATACTTGTCTTATAAAAAAACCCCTAAACAAGGATTTTCTTGGAGCTGCAACGAAAACAAAATTTCATGATAGCTCTCAAAAATACAATAATAAACTATTTAAAATGTGGGTTAGGCTGAAGTAAAGCAGAGTCAGGTTATATTATCTTTGGTTCTTAGAGTCTAGCATTGCTTCTATCATTGTTGAGTGGATAGTAGGACTTTATTTTATTTTCCTGGCCTTCCTTGGGGACAAATGGCACACTGGAGGTCGGTTAAAAATCTGTATTTTGAAAGTTTAAGGCCCAGTTCTTCCTATTAATGTTATACGATGTTTGCAGATCATAATTCTATCGAGGTTTTCTCATTTCTAAAACAAGATCCTAAGATCAAGATTAATCTATTTTGAAAACTATTATTAATTATTAATTATTCATATTAATGAGCCAACATGTCTTTGAGCTGGCATGGCGTGACTCAGGAAGGGATGAGGGCATGTGTGTGATGTACAGTGTAAGGTGACGCGCCACATGACTTAGTGACAGAAGATCCTATTTTGGTGGCAAAGATAAATTTCAACTCTCCCCAACTGCTTATTTATTGAAGATAATGGAAGTGGCTTTAGGCTATTTCCATACGTCCAAAGTGAAAGCAATAGTGCGAGACTATAGATTAATTTGGCCTACATGGAAAACTGAAACTCAGCTGGGTTTTGCAGGCATGGTAGAACCGCTCTGGAATTCCTGAGGTGCGCAAGGTGCCTGTTAACCCAGAGCTCTGAGCTCCGTTCCTGAAGATGTCTGCCTGTGAGGGACACATCCTTATCAATGATTTTTGTGTTTTCCTGCCAGGGTTACAAGCTGCTTAAGAAGATGCTTCCATTTTGCAGGCATTTTAACCCCATTGAAATCCAAATATGCTTGTATAACCAAAGACAGAAGAAAGCTGACTCTGCAACTCTAGCTTTGATCTTCCAGCTTACAAAGATATGCTTGGTTTGCTTCCATTTAAGATCTGTTAACAAATACTTGCCTTAGAATTACATGCTGGAATGCATTTCAGATTACACTCTACTATAGGAATGGCCAAATGCGAGAAAGTCACTGACAAATGAGAAGTTATCTTAAAGTAAAACGATGCAGAACACATTTGGAAATCTATATTAATGTAATACTACTACCATATTTGAAATTAGAGATTTTAAATTTAGGCTGCACTTAGAATCATGCAACTAGGATGATGATATGGTGATTTGCTGGAGACTCTGTAGCTCTTGAAATGAGATCACAGAGGGTTGACGTTTCTTTTTCTTCTAGTTAAGTAACAGATCCCGTTTTGTATAGTTAATCACTTTGGATGTATGCATTAGGAGTTTGATAAATATTAGGCCATTCAGTTATTTGAAATATTAGATTTTACTTTAAGCCGGTTTTATCAAGGTTTTTCCAGTAAGTGGTTGGTACTATAATTAATAGTCGGAGGCTGCGTTAATGGTTATTAATGTATCTTGTGGCTAAAAGCTTGAGGTTGGAGTGAGGGGCGGGTTCAACTTCTGTCTGCATCACTGCATTGGCTTGGATTATTGTGGACAGATTCTCATTCACTGTGTTCCTTTTTTTTTTTTTTTTTTTTTACCTTGAATGCACATGGAGATGCACTCACTCATCCGAACCTTACAGGGCTGTTGTGAAGACTAAGTAAAATTGAATGTGTAGAAGCCTCTACAACAGAGTCCCAATTCATTCAAAGTTGAGGATAAGCCAGGTGCAGGCTCATGCCTGCAAGCCTAGCTCCTCAGAAGGCTGAGATCTGAAGGACCAAGGTTCAAAGCCAGATGGAACAGGAGACTCTTATTTCCAATTAAACACTACAAAGCCAGAAGCGGAGCTGTCCTCAAGCAGCAGAGAACTAGCCTTGAGCAAAAACTGCCCAGCGTTGTCACTCAGGCCTTGAATCGAAGCCCCACGACCAGAATGGGGAGGAGGGTGGGGAGAAAGGAAAAAAGTTCAGGATATGGCTAATGCTATTTTAGTTTAACTCACCTTTGCTAGTTTCATCTTAGTACATAAAATGTCTTCCATCTTTATTCTCTTTATGGGTCATCCCAATAATTTTATATTTGATAAACTTTTCTAACTATTGCACGGGACCAGGTCTTCACAGGGGGACTTTCTGCGTAAAATTAGTAAACAAGTAAAATTAGTAGACAAGGTTTTCTGGGGGAGGTGACTCATGACTATAATTCCTGGCACCTGGAAGACTGAGAGGGGGAGAATGGTGGTTGGAGGTCAGCCCAGGCAGGAAAGTTCTTGTGACCTCATTTCAAGCTAGAGTTGGGCACGGTGGTGTACACCTCTCATCCCAAGCCACGTAGGGATTTGAGACTGGGTCTCACAGAACCACGAACTCTTTGTCAAGGCTTCCTGAACCTCTCTCTCTCTCTCTCTCTCTCTCTCCCTCCCTCCCTCCCTCCCTCCCTCCCTCCCTCCCTCCAAACCCTCCTGCTTGAATCTCCTGCTTGCTTGCCTGCACACTTTCTCAGATATGGGGCCTGCGCCACTGCTCTGCTGTTTATCATATTGGCAGTGGGGTTGCTACAAGATAGAAAATTAAGGTAATTAAGGAAAGAATTGGTCTGTTTTCCTTCTACTTTCAGTCATGTTTGAATGGCATTAGCCACAGGTATATTTCACTTTTGAAGACCTTACACCTGAAAAAAAATCATCAGTGTCATTTAAAATTACATTTTAACATCCTAGAGAATTGGGAAGTCATTGTAGCAGTTAAAAACATTGTGGGCATTGGGATATAGTTCTTTCAGTTTTTTTCTCTCCCCCCCCCCCCCCCCCCCCCGTATATTCATTGCAAGCCTTTTAAAGAATACTTTATAAACTGTATTGTGAGAATCAATGAGTGATACCTTTCATAGAAGTGTCTGGCTACATATTTTGTTTACAATGAACTATGTTGTGTAAATGCCCATATAAGTCAATAAATAAGTCACTAGAAAGAACTGTTGTATGAAATAAATTGATCAGTAATATGATTCATGCTACTTCTTTAAAACCAGGTCGAAAAGTTAAGTGTGAAACTATTGGGTTGTGTTGTATCTTAATTAGAAACCCTACATACATATATGAACCTATCTTGCAGCTACTGCATTAATTTTAAGGAAGTAATTAGAGTTTACACATTAGTTGTCCTGAAAGGTTGAAATCTTATTTTTGGGTGGCCGCTTTATCCTGATGACGTGGAGGTAAGCTGTGTGTGATACGAGTATGAGACCAATGACATTGCAGTTAAACTTTTCTCAAACTCACACTCATGTACCATATTCTTTTAAGGTATGCCTTGAATGTGGTGAAGATTATTGTACAGGCTGCTTTGCTAAAATTCACCAGAAGGGGGCACTCAAGCTCCACCGAACAACACTTTTACAGGTAGGCCTTTCTACAGGGCTTGACTGCAGTGTATTTATAATTTATTTCAATGTAAAGGCATTTAAAATAGTATTGAGAATTCTAGATGATTTATACTCTTTTCTAAAATTCTATTATGTATAGACAGTAGTGACATATATCTTAAACTTATTTAATTGAACACTAATCAAGGTTTTATTTTGCTATTTAAACTGTTTTAATATAGGTCCTAAAACATTTTAGCTTGATTAGAGTCTTTAGATTCTGCATTCTTCCTGTACACTTGACATTTAAAATTGGGCAATTTTCCTCTCTATTGTGGTTTTAAATGAACACATGACTTATTTTACAAATTATTTCTACCTAGTTTATTAGTAAAATCTCCAGTTTCCTTTCATGTATATTGCAAAGAATTTTGTCTTTGTCATTACATTTTGACATCTTAGAGGAGTGAGTTAGGCTCACAGGCTTCTACTTTGCTTCTAGGAACTTTTATTTACTCCTATGTATTCATCTTTGTTTTGCCTGTTTTTCTAAATCTAATCGAATCTTTTAAATGCCAGGCCAATGGAAATCCTGATTGTTCAACAATAGCTTCGGTTAGATACAGAGATATTTATGTAACCAGCTGTATTTAGTGATGCATTGATTTGTCATCTATTTAATTCATTTCTTTTCAGTAATTTACTCAACATGTATTCCTGGGTGCCTTCTGGCAGGAGTTCCTGCCAGGCACTGACTTCACAAAGGCGGATATTTGGGGGATCTTGCTCGCCAGGTCTTGCAGATAAAGTCAAGCAGGGACGAAGCCTTTGTAGAGTGGGTTAAGGATTCTTGTACCCAGACTAAGGGAGATGACCACAGCGGGGTTTAAAATGATCATTGGTAGATTTCAATTGCCACGAGTCTTCTCAGTACAAATATTGAGAACAGGGTCATCATAAAACATCAAACAGGGAGTGGCGCTGTAGCTCAAGTGGTAGAGCACTAGTCTTGAGCACAGAGAGGCTCAGGGACAGCGCTTGGGTCCAGAGTTCAAGTCCCACGATCTCCACCCCACACAAAGAGAGAGAGAGAGAGAGAGAGAGAGAGAGAGAGAGAGAGAGAGAGAGAGAGAGAGAGAGATTGAGCCGGACACCAGTGGCTCACACCTGTAACCCTAGCTACTCAGGAGGCTGACATCTGAGGATCTCAATTCAAAGCCAGCGTGGGGGAGGAACATACAAAGAAACAAAAAAAAAAATCCCTGTTTTCACTGTATTTGATGTCAGTGCCCTGCATCTTGTATATATACTTCTCTAGCTTTGGGAGGGGAAGGGAAAAAAAAAACACAAAATGCTTAAATAGGGTATAGGTTGACCCATTGTAACAATGAGATGTATAAGACACTATGTTGAAAAACAAACTTTACAATTTAAGTGCGGGAGAGGGGAGTTGGGGAGGTGGGGTGGGAAGGGATGGTAGGGGAAAAACAAAGGAGGGGGGTAACAATGCTCAATAGGAGATGTACTCATTACCTTACTCATGGAACTGTAACCTCACTGTACAGTATTTTTTACAATAAAAAACGTATTAAAAAAAAGGGCTGGGAAGATGGCTCAGTGTTAGAGTGCTTGCCTTGCACACACATGGCCCTGGGTTCCATTCCTCAGCACCACATAAGCAGAAAAAAAGTCAGCTTGGGCAGGAAAGGCGGTGAGACTCTTATTTCCAGTTAACCACCAGAAAACCAGAAGAGGTTCTGTGGCTCAAGTGGTAGAGAACTCACCCTGAGCTGAAGAGCTGAGGGACAGAGCACAGGCCGAGGTCAAGCCCCATGACAGAGTCTCTCTCTCTCTCTCTCTCTCTCTCTCTTTCACACACACACACACACACACACACACACACACACACACACACACACACACGAACATACCTAATTTATGTACCAGAGGTCAGGTACTGAGAATCATCCTTCAGTATGTTTGGCTTTCAGGGAGAAATGACAGAGGGTGCATAAGATACAAATCTACCTCTTCCTTTCCTGAAGGGATTAAAATGAGCTGATCTTATAAAATGAAAATATACCCTTTTTTATATTGAAAGTGAACTTTACAACTTTGGTGGGGTAGGGGAGGGAGGAGTTGGGGAGGTGGGATGGGAAGGGATGGTAGGGGAAAAACAAAGGAGGAGGTAACAATGCTCAATAGGAAATGTATTCACTACCTTACTCATGTAACTGTAACCCCTCTGTATTGCATCTTTACAATAAAAATATATAGTAAAAAAAGAAAATATATCTTTTTAAAAGAATTATTTTATTGTAAAGATGCTGTACAGAGGGGTTACAGTTACAAGAGTAAAGCAATGAGTACATTTCTTGTCGAGCATTGTTGTTATCTGACCATAGAAGATGATGCTAAGTGAAATGAACCCCAAGATATGAAAATATATCTTCAGAAAAATGAGTCTAGGGCTGGGATGTAGCTCAGTAGCAAAGCCCTTGTGTAGTAAGTGCCACGTTCTGGTTTGATCCTTAGTATAAAAGAAAGAAAGAAAGAAAGAAAGAAGGAAAGAAAGGAAGAAAGAAAGAAAGAAAGGAAAGACAGAAAAAATAGTTAAACCCCCAAAGAACAAAAAGAAAACCCTTTAAAAAGTGAGTCTAGTTGCTTGTGTATACACAATATAGGATTTAACTGAAAATGCTCCACTTAGAAAATAATACTACAGATACCCTATTGGAAGTCCGTATGAGGCTTTTCTCCTTCACGGTTTATTCACCTGTGTCTAAGTTGCCACTCAATGAAGTTCAGCCCCATGTGAGCTCGTGAGGGGATACAAAGCAGAATAAGACATGGTAGCTGTTTGGTAGCTAAGACTAGGGCCCTTGTCTGTTCTCTTCTCTATCCCTCCCTCCTTCCCTCCCTCCTCTCTTCCACTCTCCCTCCTTCCCCCACCCCCACACTCTGGATTTTAACATGCCATGGCTTCTTGTTCGCCACATGTTGATAGCATATGGATTGAATCTCACAGAGGATACTTTAGAACATTCAGGGTTTTCTATCTCACGTTAGTATCGTAATGAAAACGCACTTCCTGTTATAACTTAGAATGGGACCATAACTTACAGATCATGCTCTTATAAAATTCTAAAACGTACCATGGATCAAAGGAAGTGGAAAGTATTTTACATATTAAAAATACAATCCACTTTTTATAATTAAAAATCAGCTGTTGATTCAAATTCCTTTGTGCTGGGCAGCACCTATGCACAGAGCATTTAGAAAGATCTGGAGACTCATCTCCATTTTTACTAAAGTATAATTGACAGGTCTTAATTGTGTTCCTTTATGATGTACATTCTCTTGTTTTGCTATCTGTGTATGTAGTGAAGCTATCTCCAAAATCAAGCTAACAAATCTATCAATAGCTTCATCATTTTCTTTTTTTCTCTTCTTTCTTCTTTTTTTTTCCCATTTGTTCTGCTGCCAGCATCACATTTTCCAGTTTTGATTTCAGAGGAGGAAAGGCTGCTAAGCCACAAATAGCAAAATGATATTTCAGTTTCTAGTGAATCTTAAATTGTAGAAGACACATTTATTTGCAAAAGTTAGTTTGAATAGATTTCATATGTGTAGAAATTAAAAGGCATATTGAATAATCATGCATTGTGGCTAGGCTGCTTCTAATACAAGGGTTCATTAAGTTAAATAATAGTAAGTGTTGAGGCTAGCATTGGGAGTTGGGGTTAAGGTTGGGATTGGGTTTGGGATTAGGATTAGGGCAGAGGTTGGAGATGGAGTTAGAGCTGGGGTGGGGTTAGTGTTAGAGCTGGGTTAGGTTTGGGTTTAGAGTTCGGGTTGGGGTTAGAGTTGGTTAAGGGTTCGTGTTTCTCCTTTGCGTTGCGCTCCAGTCTGTGGGTGCTGAAGTTAGTTGCTGCTTATATACTGGGTGCATTCCTTAGTCTGCCTTTGCCATTAAGGAGGTGGAGTTGTGATGTTTGACACAGAAATGCCATTCTGGACACCAATTCTATTGTATCGCTATTGCTGTCTTTCTATATCACAGCATTTCACCTGCTGACAGAGTTGAGGAATGAAGGACTTTGAAGGAAAAAAATCCTTTCCAAGTAATTCAAGTAAATGGGTCCTCTAAAAATTGTAAATTTAATAGTTAAACTCCACACTTGTGTTTGAAATTAGGCAGGACTTTTGGGATGATTCGAATTAGTTTGTCTAGAAGAATTTCCTCCAGGCTTATTCAGTTCATAGAAGATTATATTATCCTCTTTTTTTTTTTGTTTTTAAAGTTTGAGTCATGTTTCTTTGTGCTTATACAGATGCTTTTTCTTTTTGGTTGGTCATGGGGCTTGAACTCTGGGCCTGGGCACTGTCCCTCAGCTCTTCAGCTCAAGGCGAGTGCTCTACCACTTGAGCTACAGCGCCACTTCTGGTTTTCTGTGGTTTATTGGAGATAGGAGTCTCACGGTCTCTCCTGCCCGGGCTGGCTTTGAACTGTGATCCTCAGATCTCAGCCTCCTCAGTAGCTAGGATTACAGGCGTGAGCCACCAGCGCCCGGCTTACAGATGCTTTTTCTATAAGGAAGAAAAAATAGTGATATCCTGTGCCATATTTATATGTTTGCCAATAGTAATCATTGCATCATAAATGGGTATGTCATATGTCAGGCTGGTTGTATCACCTGTTCTTTGTTAGAAGTTGTGTCATACCACAATGTTGATCTTGACTACATGTAATAACAATGGCATAAACAAATACCTTTGATGGAAACCCTTCAAAATGATTTCCATATTCCCTCCCGACTTTGTAAATAGATTATTTATTGCTATTTATTGTTTTGATTACTTGTGATTAAAACACTTATTAAAAGAAGTATCCAGTAGCTCAGACATTATGCATAGCTATGCAGTTCTCCCATGATAGTTATTGTTCTGATTCATCCCTTTTTCCCCTCCTGTTATGGACCTCATCCATTCCTTGCCATCAAATCTGGTCTTCAATTTCCCGCTGCCATTTTCCCC